ACCTTAGAAACTTAGGGGAATATTGCATTTCTCTGTGGACATCCAGGGCTCATGTTTGGAATTAAACAAATATGACTAAACAATTTGATGAAAAACAATCTGCTATTAACTGCCAGTGGCCTCATTTGTTACACTCGGCCCTAGAGGGCCTCGAACCTCTGACTAGTCTTACACGGTCTGCAACAGATACTGAGCTTCTCTATTGTCTTTTTCCACAGATGTCATCAATTTGATTCCTGTGTATTCCATCTGGTGAGCTCCATTTGTTTATGTTGGTTTATGTTGCCTAAGAAAGGTATTTCCAAGGACTAAGTCATTGGTCTTCCAAAATTCTGTCATGTCTTCTCTGGCAACAATTCTATCACCGAAACCATATTTTTCAACTACTGATCCTTTTTCTTTGTTTCCAACTTTTACATTCAAATCACTAATAGTTATCAATGCATCTTAATTGCATGTTTGATCAATTTTAAACTGCAGAAGTTGGCAAAAAAAACTTTAATTTCTTCATCTTTAACATTATAGTGGTTGATATGTAAATTTGCTGAACAAATAATCCAAGAAGCTGAATTATATGACGAAGAACATGGCATCAGGATTGGAGGGAGACTCATTAACAACCTGCAATATGCAGATGATACAACCTTGCTTGCTGAAAGTGAAGAGGACTTAAAATACTTACTGATGAAGATCAATGACCACAGCCTTTGGTATAGTTTGCACCTCAATGTAAAGAAAACAAAAATCCTCACCACTGGATCATTAAATAGCATCATGATAAATGGAGAAAAGAACGAAGTTGTCAAAGACTTCATTTTGCTTGAATCCACAGTCAACACTCATGGAAGCATCAGTCAAGAAATCAAACGACATATTGTGCTAGGCAAATCTGCTGCACAAGATCTCTTTAAAGTGTTCAAAAGCAAAGGTGCGCCTGACCCAAGCCATGGTATTTCAGTTGCCTCATATGCATGTGAAAGTTGGACAATGAATAAGGAAGACCAGAGAAGAATTGATGCATTTGAGTTATGATTTTGGAGAAGAATATTAAAACACCATGGACTGCCAGAAGAGCAAACAAATCTGTGTACAAATCAGAATGCTTCTTAGGACCAGAATAGCGAGACTGCATCTCTCATACTTCAGACATATTATCAGGCAAGGATATCATGCTTGGTAAAGTGGAGGGTCAGTGAAAAAGAAGAAACCTCCCAGTAAGATTGGTTGGTACAGTGGCAGCAGCAATGGGCTCAAGCATAACAAGGATTGTGAGGATGGTGCAGGAACGAGCATGGGGTCGCTATGAATTAGAACCGACTTGACGACACCTAACAACAACAATGATGTAAATTTGAATAATAGCCACATTAACTGGTCTTCCTTATAAGCATATGGATAGTCCCTTATCGCTGACAGTGTCGTACTTCAGGATAGATCTTGAAATGATTTTTTGACAATGAATGTGATGCCATTCCTCTTCAATTTGTCATTCCGTACAATTGTCTAATACAAAACGGCTAATTCACTCCATTTCAGTGCATTAATGCCTAGGATATCAGTCTTGAAACATTCCTTTTCATTTTTGACAATTTCCAGTTTTCCTAGATAACACTTCACACATGTCACATTCTGATTATACTTGGATGTTTGTAGCTGCTTCTTCTCATTTTGAGTCACGCAGCATCAGCAAATGAAGGTCCTGAAAGCTTTACTCCATCCATGTCATTAAGGTTAACTCTACTTTTAGTAGGCAGCTCTGCCCCCAGTCCTATTTTGAGTGTTTTGTATTCTGAGAGGCTTCTAGGAGACAGTGCTATGCTGCTATTTATAAAGGTCTCACTGGCCAGGTTTTTTTTGCAGTAGATTGCCAAGTCCTTCTTCCTAGTCGGTCTCAGCCTGGAATCTCCACTGAACCCTATTCACCAAGAGTGACCTTGATGGTATTTGAAATATCAGGGGCAATGATTTCAGCATCACAACAACACACAGCCACTTCAGTATAATAAAGTGATAGACAAGTGGCAATCTAATGTTGTTGCTCTTGTTAAGTGCCATCGAGTCATTTCCAACCCATAGGGACCCTGTATAGGGTTTCCAAGAAGCAGCTGGTGATCTTGAACCGCAGACCTTAAGGTTCATGTCGACTTTGCAGTCCAGCATATTAACTCACAATGCCACACCAGGTCACCATGCAACCTAATAATGAGGAAGTTTAAAGTGGTTGTTTCTCTTATTATTCATTTTTTACTTTAGAAATGTTGTTGTTGTTGTGATGTGCCGTGAAGTCGGTTCCGACTCATAGCGACCCTGTACAGGGTTTCCGAGGCTGTAAATCTTTACGGGAGCAGAACACCTCATCTTTCTCCCGCGGAATAGCTGGTAGTTTCGAATTGCTGACCTTGTGGTTCGCAGCCCGATTCGTAACCAAATGTTGTTGTTGTTGTTAAGTGCCATCGAGTCGGGTCCGACCCATAGCGACCCTGTACAGGGTTTCCGAGGGTGTAAATCTTTACGGGAGTAGAAAGCCTCATCTTTCTCCCGCGGAGCGGCTGGTAGTTTCGAACCGCTGACCTTAAGGTTCGCAGCCCAATTCGTAACCACTACGCTACCAGAGCTCCTTCGTAACCAAATACTTGCCTTTAAATCTAACCATCTCTCAGGTCCAACCACATTGGAGTTTATGTGGACAAAGTCTGATGCCCTTTGTCATATATTTATAATTGAATCTAGGTCAGCTTTTACTTAAAAGAAACTTTTGAAAAATGAGATAAAAACTATCATTTTAGATAAAGATACATCTAAAACTGCTAATTTAAGGAATAGGGAAAACCAGAAAGTTTAATGACCATGTTAGTCTTGGATACTAATAACTGGAATAGTTTAATCTCTTACTATGTGAGCTAGTCCATGACATTATTGTCATTGTTGTTAGATGCTGTTAAGTTGATTTTGACTCATGGCAACTCCATATCATAGAGTTTATTAATTAAACAAACAAACAAGCATACATATTTTTTATGTAGAATAATATAATTTAAAATACCTAGGTATTTTACAGATATTTAATGAATTTAGAAATAATTTTATTAGTAAATTAGTAATATTCATAGCTGAAAATTTATGTTTATTAACCAAATTGTTTTTTTTTTATTTCAATTCATTTGTTACATATTAATTTCATATTTCCAAATCAGACTTCCTTCTCTACACCGGACAATCTTGCTCTTGGGCATGGGCCAGTCCCCAGAGGGACCTTAATTAATATCTTTACCAAACCCTTTCATTATGATAACTGAAATAACTCACTGAAGATTTTGTTAATTGAGTTTTCAAAGCATGCTTATTTTCTGATGTAGTATACTTGGAAAAGAAATGAATATATGACTCCAACAAAATCAACTTATGATTTTGCTACCCTTTTATTATCCCTACTTAATCCACTTAAATGCCTACCTAAAATCATGTCTCCTGTTTATGAATTATACGATGTAACTTACTTTGCCACAATGGCATTTATATGAGTCCTCACAAGTCCCAGGTATTGGTCAACCTGTGCCTACAAAGAGAAAGGAATCATGAGCACATCCAAAGGTCATGAAGTCAAAATTCAACATGAATGTTTGACATCACATAGAACTTACCTGGTGTTTAACATACACTACGGGTAGAGTAAACATTGAAACCACAGCTGGGATGAAAAACAAATACAGTATTACAATTCTGAGCATTGACAATAAGTTTATATACATATTTTATATAGTAATCATATAATATATGCTCTAACAATACCACAGCATTAGTTATAGCAACCAACATTCTAGACAGAAGACGGCAGAGCAGTTCAGAAGGAAAATGAAAAGATACTAAGCCATATACAGATCTTATGTCATCATTCTTAGAATAGTATGCTCTTTGAGATTGAAATAAGTATCTATAACTACCATTGTAAATAAATATACTGTTGTTTTTAAGTGCCAATGAGTTGGTTCTGATTCACAGTAACCCTGTATAGGGTCTCCAAGGAGCAGTTAGTAGGTTTGAACTAATGACCTTGAAGTTGGTAGTCCAGTATTTATTCTACAATGTCATACCAGGACCACAGATAAATATATATCAGAAGTCAAATAAAACCTGTTGTGGCTGAAGAAAACCAAAACGCTTTGGAAAAATCAATTCATTACCATTATTATCATGCTCTTTAATGGAACTATGATGGTAAGAGAAATATCTATACTTAGGAATATCTGTGACATTTAAGCTTAGGAATCTACCAAAACAATCTGAAAGCTAACAGCCTAGCTTTACTGCGGGTGTGAAAGACATAACAGAATCGTATTTGTGTTTACCCATGAGCAGCAGGGTCAGGCCATTGAAGAGAGCGCCAACGTAAGTCAGAAGCCACATCAGCACTGCAAACTAAAGAATGAAAGGATTATCAGAGCTCCTAAAACTGTGATATGCACAAAAGTCTCATTTCATTGTCTTTGTTACAGATTAGAATTTGAGTCAAAGTATATCATAACTTAGATAGCAACTCTGAGAGCAATAAGGTGCTTCAAGCTCATGGAGAATTACTGAAAGAGACTCCAGGTCGCCTAGAAACCTGTGGATCTCTGTTGTGAAATTTAAGGGGCTGAGTGAGATACTCAATGAAATAACCCAGTCCAAGGGTCTGCAAACTATGGCCTTTGCCTGTTTTTGTATGGACCCATCAGTTTAAAATGTCTTTTGTTTTGTTTTTACAATTTTAAATGGTCAAAGAAAAATCAAAACAAGAATAATATTTTGTAATGGATAAAATTACAAAATTCAGTTTTCAGTGCCCATAATGTTTTATTGGGACACAGACATGGTATTTCATTTACTTATTGCCCATGGCTACTTTCAGACTGGAATGGCAAAGCTGAGTGATTTTGCCAGTAACTGTGGCCTACAAAGGCACTCTTTCATATTTACTATTAGATCCTTTACAGAAAAGGTTGGTTGATTTAGTCCAAAGTTTTCACATTACAGATACACACAGACATGTTACCCTAAGAGCAGTGTTGTTGCCGTTAAGTGCTGAGAGTGACTGGTAGGTTTGAACTGCTGACCTTGTGGTTAGCAGTCCAATGCTGATCCTATGGCATCATACCAGGGCTGGAAGGTAAGCATCACCCTGGCATCTCTCGTCAGTAGTACTCAGCAAGTCACATTCCAGTAAAGTACTGGAGATCAAGACCACATTGCTCACGTTTCCCTCTGCCTTTCCTGGAATAAATCAGTCCCTGTGTTCAAGACCCTTGCCAGAGTGTTGTACAAAGTGCTCTGGGGGCAAAGAAAACTCATAACACCTTTGCTGGAACTTTCCTCTATCCTGCTTATGACCTTGCCAAATGAAGATTGATTGACTTCCATGATTGGTTGACTTATGATTGATTGGTCTGACGAGTAAGTCATAAGGAGGATGAAAGCAGCTTGCACAAAGAAATCCAATGAATTCCTGAGAGCATCAGGAATAAAACCTCAGTGCCCTGCATGCTTAATGTTGGCTCTGCCAGACCTGAGCCCTTCACATTGCTTAGCCTCTGAGTAGAAACCGTGAAGGGACACTTGAAGTTCTGTTTTTGTTTGTTTGTTTAGCATAGTCCAGAATTTATTTCAGTGAAACACCACATATTTTTTTGTACAGATAAACTAGATTTTTATTTTAAAATTTAATTTTAGAAAATTGCCCGAGGGAAGTAGAGAAAAACTGATATGTTGCAAAAAGTACAGAACTAGAAGCTGTGTGACCCAAGTTTGATCCTAGTTCTTCTAGTAAGTCACTGGGCAACCTTGGACAAGCTTGTTAAACATTCTGAGCCACAGCTCTGATACCTATAAAATGAAGAGATTAAAATAGATGATTGCCAAGGTTGACTGTTTCCTAACTCTAGAACAGGATTAGCACTTACTTGTTATTCTTCATTACAAGGTGGCTTATAATATCACATCTTTGTTGTTGTTGTTAAGTGCCATAGAGCCGGTTCCGACCCACAGTGACCCTGAATAGGGTTTCCGAGGCTATAAATCTTTATGGGAGCAGAAAGCCTCATCTTTCTCCCGCAGAACAGCTGGCAGTTTCGAATTGCTGACCTTGCGGTTCACAGCCCAATTTGTAACCACTATGCTACAAAGCTCCTATCCTATCACATCTTTAGTGATAACAAAATCAAGACTATAAAGTAGATGGTGCAAGCAATCATACTTTTAAGGAATCCACCAGGTCCTGGACGAGGAAGAGCCTCCTGAGCTCTTTAAGTGTGTTGTTCACGTAGAACTGCAGGCAGTCTGTGTACTTCTGAATCTGCTCCTGAGAAAGGGTGATCTCAAGCTCCAAGTAGGTCCTGTCAACAAACAACCCACAGAGAACCCATTAGAGGGAGTCACCAAACAGGCACCGACCCACGTTAACCGATAACTTTTCCTTCTCTCTCTCTCTGCAGATGGCAACTGGCCATCTCTGAGGGGTGTATAAAGCCAAGTGGAACACTGGGTGCCACAAACTCCCCCTTCCGGTACACTGGGGAACACAGGCCATGGCTCTTAGTGGGGGCACTGAGATGGCTTCCCTGTACCAAACACAGCATCACAGCGTGAGGTGATAAACGCAATGTGAGGGCTCATTCCACAGTGTGGAAACTGGCTGAGCTCAGAGAAAAGTCAGTACACATTAGCTCATTTTGCTGAATTCACCAGACATTCCTGGTCCACTAAACCATTGGGAAAGCCCCTCTCTTTCTTGGTTGCATGGAGATGGATCTTTTTAAATAGGTGAAATATCTGATAATCCTAGCTGCCAATTCTTATTGCTCTTCCAAACTCTTGAGAGTTCACGTTTAAAGTTGGGAATTGACTTCCAGGTTCTATTTAGAGAGCACAGAAAGACTCAAATGATCTGGGCTGTGTTAAAAAGCTTATTGGTTCTACTTAGTAATTACATTTAAAACTATTTGTTCAAATGGTTTAATTTAACTTTGGGGTAGATAGACCAGGCTCCCCAAATGTATACAAGCCAATTCATGTGCACCCACATTCTCCATCCTTTATCCCTCCTTTCTTCATGATCTTCTCTCTACTTATATATTGATTATATCTTCCTTGAATTCAGCCCTGTGTTCCTATGAGGCTTTATCTAACACTAGGCATTGAGATGAGAACAGTATGGTTTGAGATTTAGGGAGTTTATGTTTAAATAATTTTTTTTCCCCTCTCCTTTAAGAAAAGTAGAAAAATACTGATTTGTCTAGTGTGTTTTAACTCAAAATGTACTCTGAGTTAGATATTCATTTCAATCTGATCAAAATGACATGGTCAAAGGAAAGTTTTCAATTTCAACTTTGTCTCTTTAAGGAACATAAGACATTTAAGCTACTTGTAGACTAATTGTTAAACTCTTTTCTTTTAACTAGGTCCTTGGATATGAAAGCTAAGTGAGAGCTGAGTTCTCTCATTTAACATTAACAGCATTGGGGACTAAGATCATGAGAAAACAAGTCTTACTGGGATGGCTCAGGGCAGAGGTGGGGGCAGGGAGGACGCTACAGGTGTGAACTCTGGTCATAAGCCAAGGCCACTGAAGTAGGTATTGTATACACCCTGTTCAGATGATGCTCCATTTTTGCAGATTTCCCCACATTTACGGATGGGGACTTGTTTAGCCAAGCTATAGGCCAAAAGATTAATTAACATGCATTGTTGTTATTAAGTGCTGTCGAGTTTCCAAGTATACAGTTTCCAAGGAGTGGCTGGGGTGTTTCAACAACCAACCTTTTGCTAAGCAGTCTAGTGCTTATCCTACAGCACCACCGCAGGACTCTTAACATTGCATTAGAAGATGGCCAAATGCATCCTAAGGGTTAACATGCCTAACTATAACTGTCCACTATTCAGAGCCCAGGAACCCATGACTGGGAAGGGAATCTGATACACAGCCTCCCCGCCACCCACCCTCTTTGTCTATGTAAACATGTGTCTTTTCCCTTTTGCGAGCGTCTGGTGTTGCAGAGGGCTAGATCCAGTGACTGGTGAGGGTAGGGGGGTGTGGGTGAGTTACTGAGGCTGGCCCAGAGTGATTCTGCAGCATCATTTCCATCTGCTTCCTGGGATTCAGAACCGTCCCTTGATTAGAGGTGGTGAGGACACCTGCAGAGCCTATACTATGGGACCAACACTAGGAAAAGCCCCCAGGGCTTAAAAGCTAACACTGGGAGATAAGTCAGGAATGGAGCTGAATGACATGCAGCTGGCAGTGCTAATGTTGCCCTCTCTAAGGAGTTCTGGTAGCACAGTGGTTATGAGTCAGGCAACTAACCTCAAGGTCAGCAGTTCGAAACTAGCAGCCCTTCCTTGGGAGAAAGATGAGGTTTTCTGATCCAGTAAAGATTTACAGCTGCAGAAACGCTATGCAGGGTTGCTGTGAGTAGGAACTGACTCCACAGCATACTTGTTGTTGTTGTTAAGTGCCTTCAAGTCAGTTCCAACCCATAGCGACCCTGTAAAGGGTTTCCTAGGCAGTAAATCTTTACGGGAGCAGAAAGCCTCATCTTTCTCCTGCGAAACGGCTGGTAGTTTCGAACTGCTGGCCTTAAGGTTTGCAGCCCGATTCGTAACCACTACGCTACCACCATCATATTTAATATATTCTCTTAAGTTAGTACACTGCCTCTTAAACTATAGCTTCTTCCTTATGGTTCTTCTAATCAGATTTCTTCAGTATAAAAATGCAGAGGAGGGCACATTATGAGACTGTTCCTAGGCCCTGCATCCCTCAGAGGGTTGGTCCAGAGAGAACAGGAAAATAAAAATCAAAATACTTGAGTCCTGGCTCTGTGATATTCACTGACGATGTGAACTTGGGCAAACCACTTTACTTCTTAGAACTTCAGTCCTGGTGTAGCACTGCAGGCTAGACTATAACGTTGGTTTGATACTGTAAGGTTGGTGAATCAAGCTCACCAGCCGCTCCTTGAAACCCTATACGGGTTCACTATGGGTGGGAACCAACGCCACAGCACTTAACAATGATCAGTATTGTAATGCCTGCTCTGCCTCTCTCATAGTATTGAGAAGATTAAGCATTCTTACCTTCACAAAACACTGCATACAATAAATTATGAAACAAAACAATGGATTATGATTTTTATTAGTTGTAGCAGTAATTAAAATATAAACACTCAATTAAAAAATTAGTGTTGGAGTGAGGGTTATTGAACTGCATTTTTATTCCCCCAGAAATTCACCAGAAATATTAGACATTAAAAGGGGAGATGTTAAGGAAAACTCTAACAGGCCTGGAAGGTCTCAGAGAAACATGACGGAAAGTGAGTCTGAGATTCTGAGGAAGACCTGTGAGAGGCAGGGAAAGCCAAATACTTACTTGAAAGGGTGGCCCTCGTCGGTTTTCTGCACAGCTTGTAAAACAGACTTGTAGATGCGGAAACTGATGGTGGCTGAGAGTGCAGCCAAAGCCAGATAGGCCACGACACTCACAACGCTGAACTGGGTCAGGGAGAAGAGCAGCAGCAGGAAGCTTCCAAACACTATGCCCGTCTGCTTGATGTCCCGCCAGTAGAGCAGGTCAATAGCTGTGGGGAGGAGACACAAAACACACACACACCACTCAGCACTGGAAACACCACAGGGCCAGCTACTGTGGCTCCTTCCTTAAAGCTGCGGTTGCTGCAGGTCCTCACCTCCCATTTAGCCCTAAGCACAGCGACTGGAGAAGATATTTACTACCCGTTTCATTCAGGTTTGGAAGAATCTCTCCATCCCTGAGGGACTCCAAATTTGCAGAACAGAAAAAGCTGTTGAGTTTCCAGAAATTGTATCTCTATGTGCTACACCATTCCTGCAGAGGACCTAACTATGTGATCTTGAAATAAGTTGGAAATTCAGAGGACTCTGTGAAGTACTGGATTTGTTGTTGTTGTTGCTGTTGTTAGGTGCCATCGAGTTGGTACCAACTCATAGCAACCGTATGCACAACAGAACAAAACACTGCCCAGTCCTGGGCCAACCTCACAATCACTGTTATGTTTGAGCCCATTGCTGCTGCCACTGTGCCAATCCATCTAGTTGGGAGTCTTCCTCTTTTTCTTCGACCCTACACTTTACCAAACATGATATCCTTCTCCAGGGATGGGCCCCTCTGATAATATGCCCAAACTATGAGAGACAGAGTCCTGGTGTGGTGCTGTGGGTTGATGCACTGGACTGCAAAGTTGGATTGAACTGCAAGGTCTGCAGTTAAAGCTCACCAGCCACTCCTTGGAAACCCTATAAAGGGTCACTATGGGTCGGACTGCGACAGCACTTAACAACAACAACAGTGAGAGACAAAGTCTGGCCATCCTGGCTTTCAAGGAGCATTCTGGCTGTACATCTTCCAACATAGATTTGTTTGTTATTTTGGCAGTCCATGGTACTTTTAATATTCTCCTTCAACACCATAGCTCAAATGCATCAATTTTTCTACGGTCATCCTTACTCACTGTCCAACTTTCATATGCATGTGAGGCTACTGAAAATACCATGGCTTGGGTCAGGCACACCTCAGTCCTCAAAATGACATCTTTGCTCTTGAATACTTTAAAGAGGTCTCATACAGCAGAGTTCCCTAATGCTTTAATTATATGGGTATCTTGCTTCTCTACTGATCATTTCAAGTCTCAAATGCAAAACCCCTGCTGCTGAGGTGCATCAGCAATGAAAAGACAGGTGGTTGGAACAATAGTGCCTTCAATAACATGGAGGAAGGCCCAGGGGTCCTAGGCAATTCCAAAGGCATCTAGACCAAGGTACAGTTGCATCCAAAATAAGATCAAATCCAAGGGACTAGTAATTGCCCCAAGGAACAATGGATGAAGCTAACATTTGGACTAGACCATTTTGTATATCATGATTTGTTTGCTTAAGTGCCACAGAGTCGGTTCTGACCCATAGTGACCCTGTATAGAGTTTCCTAGGAGCAACTTGTAAGCTTGAACCTCCAACCCTGCGGTTCAAACCGACTTTGCAGTCCAGCATATTAACCCACAGCGCCACACCATGACTCCAGAGTATTATTAGATGCGGTCAAGCCAGGTCCAATTCATAGTGACCTGATACACAACAGAATGGAACAGTACCTGGTCCTTCACCACTTTCACAATTGTTGTTATATTTGAGTCCATTACTGCTGCCGTTGTGTCAATCCCTCTCATTTGGGGGGTGGTTCCTTCTTTTTCACTGACCCTCTGCTTTACCAAGCATGATATCCTTCTTGAGTACAAACTTTAAAAATCACAACTATCATTCAATTATTACCATTTTAAAATTTAGAAACAAACATCCAAAAGAGTAAGCTGCAATGTAATCATATCAAATGGAAATATTTCAAATATTCTTATCACCAGGATATGAAAAAAGCATCAAATGCTTTTGCTGAAGACTGTATGCAAACTCTTTCTCCAAGGCATGGAAAACTAGTTTTGTATCATATACTTGCCGATCAGTTTTCAGGAAGAGAAAAAAGATGCAAAACTCAATAAAAGTGTCATTTGCTTACATTGCTTCATGCAAAGTGTACCTGGAGACATCTCGTTTGTAGAATTAGACTCCAGTTCATTGACTCAAAGGAAACCTGGGCTGAAGAGAGCAGGTTGCTGCTCCCATCATACATGAGTGGGCAACTAGCTGAATGAACAGGGGAAAAGAAAACAAAAACAGCCTGGTGACAAACCTTAGACTATCGAGGTAACATAAGGAATGTAGCATCAAATTAGCCCCTTTCTTAGCAGACTTGCCTCAGGCTGGCAGAAGAATAAATTGGGAGTCTAAAGACTCTTTTATAGTAGATTGAGAATACCCTAGCAATCGGAAGCTGGAGAGAGTTTCTTTTGAGCTGATCTACCACTCTTCCTCTCCACCTTGTTTTTCTACCTCTGGCCCCAACTGGTCCATCAATTATATTAATTCAGAAAAATTCCAGAAGACAGTCATTTCATTGGACACAGTTTTGTTCTGTGAGACAGTAGGAGAGGATCACAACACAGAGTAAGGTGCGACAAAGATGTTCTTTCTCTGAGTTGGGCTGGTCCTGCAAGTAGGTTTCCAGGGGAAGGAAAAGCCCAGCTGTTCTAAAGCTTTCTCTTCTCTCTGCCCCAACCACCAATGGAATCCTACCATTAGGGGTTCATTCCTTTGGCTTAATCCTACTTACCTTCAAAATATTTCTTGTTTCCTCATCTCTTTTTTTATGCAAATATTCCAGAAGGAGATAATGCATTTAAAAAGCTGTTTTCCATTAACAACAAAATTGGAATGAGTTCTCAAGGGAGAAGAGCAAGGTGCAGGACCCTACCCAGAGAAGTAGTGATGCCAGAGATGGAGACAGAGGCGATGACGTGGAGAGATGGAGTGGCTGGGGACTCTAGACCCAGGGAGGGAGAGGGGCTGTGTGCTGATGACCAGGGGCAGGCTTGTGGGGTGTACCCTTTGGTTGTTTAATGATGCATGGAGGGGATTGTAATCATGGTAATGAAACGATATATGATAGGATGAATGTAAAACTAATGTTTTCCCATGTAAACTATCACATAATTCACAATAAAAACTTAAAAAAAAAAAAAGAAAAGAAATAGGGTGACAATTTCATCATTTCTACTAGGTATAAATGTCTAGTTCCTTTGTGGATCATAAAAACTTGGCTCAGATTTAAAAAAAAATTGGAATGAGTTCATCAAATGATTTTCCTTTTAGAAGAGTTTACTGAGAAAAGAACACCAAAATAATGAATGTTCTTAAGCAAAAATCTTTGGGACCTATAAGAGACTCCTGGTACCCTAAGGGTAGATGATAGGAAGCAGAAAAGATCTTCCCAGAAGCCTGAATTAATGGTCCTTGGGGCACTGGGGCCTCCTAGTACTTTTTCTGTTTTGTGCAAAGGAAGGAAAAGGAGGAAATCACACGCCTAAGACAGTATTGCCTTTTGCACATTAATTTCTTTATTCAGTGTACATTGTTGATGTTGTTAGTACTGTCAAGTCAATTTTCATGTCACCATGACCCCATGTGACAGAGTAGAACTGCCCACAAAGATTTCTAGGCTGTAATCGACGGCACTTAACAACAACAACAGGAGGACCCCGAAATGTTGGCAGTTGAAACTCCCAGCTGCCCCAAGAGACAGAGATATGGCAAGCTTCGTCCATAAAGATTGTTGTTGTTGTTGTGTGCCCTGGAGTAGGTTCCAACTCATAGCGACCCTGCACAGGGTTTCCGAGGCTGTTAATCTTTACGGGAGCAGAAAGCCACATCTTTCTTCCATGGAGCAGCTGATAGTTTCAAACTGCTGACCCTGAGGTTAGCAGCCTGATTCATAACCAGTACGCTACCAGAGCTCCTTTATAACTTTGGAAACCCTACGGGGCAGTTCTACTCTCTTCTATAGTTGGCTCTGAGTCGGAGTCAACTCAACAAGCATTTATAAATGTGGTGAACAATTTGTTAGGAGATGGGAGAATAAGAGGGAAATATTATGAAGACTTAGTTAACAAGAACGGTGACTAATTAGCTGTGAGAGGAAGGAGGAAGAGCTAATTAAGGGTGAAAAACACATTTCAAACCTGAGTGAATGAGTGATTACTACCACTGACAAAAATAGGAAATCAGAGTGTGAATTGATTTGGGAAGAAACTGTTACTTGTTTTTAAACCTACATATTTTGCATGATGACATATGAAAGAGGGCATTTTGACACAGCCTGGGGCAGAGATGGAAGAAGGATCAGAGATGAGGTTGACTAATTAGCGGTACATACAATATTTGCTAATTTGTTTTAAAGCTGGGAAGTTAAATTTGCTTTTTAGGCTTTGTCAGAGCAGCCCTGCATTAAAATGGTCATTAATATCATCTATCCAGCGACACTCAGATGAATATATGGGAAGTAACTGGAAATGTGGGGCTGACATTTAATAAAAGGAGATTGGCTACTTATAACTGTGTTCTGAATGGGAATGGCTATTGAAGTCATGAGAATGGATGATAATTCCATGGGAGTGGAAGTTATGAAGTACATTTTAGGGTGAGGTCATATTTTAAGGGTTAAAGGAGTAAGTGGAGCTATAAAAAGAGAGTTGTGTGTTCACATGGGAACCATAATAACTTAGGTCAGAGTAGTTAAGCAGAAGGAACGTTTTTTAGAAGAAAAGGGTAGGCAACAGTAAAGAATGCTGTAACCAGAGCAAGGGAAATGAAACTGAGGAAGGACCACTGGAGTCGAAGGCTGGAAATTCATTTATAACCAGAGAAGCGTTTTTAGGAGTATTGGGGATGGAAGCCACGTTGTAAGGAACTGGGGGTGATGGGGAGTTTTAAGTAATAAAGAAAATGAGAAATAGTAGTTTGGGGAGTAAAAGTAACCTTTTGTTGCTGTTGTTCAGTGCTGTCGAGTTGGTTGCAATGCATAGCGACCCTGTAGAGGGTTTCCAAGGAGCAGCTGGTGAGTTTGAACCGCCAATCTTGCAATTCAAACCAACCTTGAGGTTCAGTCCATTATCCCACAGTGCCACAACAGGACTCAAGTAGCCTTTTTAGGGTGAGT